ATTACTGTGTCAATGGGGCGTCGCGTGCATGATGATGTCATGACAAAGATGGCATCATTATGGCTTCTAGCATACACTCATGCTCCTACGGCAGTTAATCAGGCCGGGCATTGACTCAGAGGTGGGATTCAGCCGGTTCTGACCCGTTTTGGAGAACCGGTAGTGGAAATTTTGAGTACTTTGGAGAACTGGCAAATCCCACCTCTGACTGGCCCCGCCAACCCCATCTGTTCTCTGCCTCCCATCGAGTCCCAGCTGATCGGCTGGGTCTCCTTTGGTTGCCCTGCACAGGAGAACGGAGCTGGAAAGCAGGTTAGTGGGGTGGGAAGGGAATGGGGATTTTGCAGTAATCTTCCCCTGTCACGCTCACCAAGCCACGTCATGCCCACCAAGCCAGGCCCACAGAACCAGTAGTAAAATTTTTTTGAATCCAACCATTGCACTGACTCATCCCTAGATAAAAAGCCAATTCTGAGGCAGGCGAAATCATTGGAGAACTAAATTATATGAACCCTTTCCTAGCCATTAAAGGTCATTATTTTAATTAATTTCTCTCTCTCTCTCTCTCTCTCTCTCCCTCCCTCCCTCCTAAAATGTCTGCCTTGTGGCCCTGGAGCATTGCTGAAGAATAAAAGCAATTCAACAGACTAAGGCAGAGCCAAAATTTCATTATGCTGCTGATAATCAGTGCAATTTATTCCTGCATAAAATTAAAAGAAACGATTGCGCCTTCAGACAAAGCATCCATACAGGTAATTCTCGACTTAGGACCACCATTGAACCCGAAATTTCTATTGCTAAGCGAAACATTAGTCCAGTCAATTTTGCTCCATTTTATGACCTGTCTTGCCACGGTTGTTAAGTGAATCAGATAACAGATAACAGATAACCAGAGTTGGAAGGGACCTTGTAGGTCATCTAGTCCAACCCCCTGCCCATGCAGGAGATCCTACACCATTTCTGACAGATGGGAGTCCAATCTCTTCTTAAAAGTTTCCAGGGATGAAGCTCCCACAACTTCTGAAGGCAACTTCTGTTCCATGGGTCGATTGTCCTCACTGTCAGAAAGTTTCTCCTTATTTCCAGGTTGAACCTCTGTAGTAATAGTAGCGGGACACCAGCATGATTAAAAGTGGGTTGTATTATTAATATTAACAGTGCATTAAAATATATTGTTGAATTTAAAACTTTTAAGGATTAGAAATTGCGGGGATTTTGTGATATAATCCCAGGATTGACTGACTTTGGTTAATATTTGGTCTGATTAGTAGTTTGGGTTATATGAGGATATTGAAAGTATGGTGTAATAATGAGTAATTTTTAAAATATTAAATATAAGTGACTTAATAGGGGATGGTGAAAAGAAATGTTTAAATGAAGTAATGGAAAAAATGAGAAAGAACTATCAAGAGAGAATGGTATTGTTGAAGTTGGAAGATTAGGATTATATATACTTATTTGTATTGTCATTGTTAGCATTGTTTAAAAAGGACATTGGCCCAGTCAACGCAGTGTCCACAAAATATGTATGCTGTGGAAGGAAAAGTGTAAATAAATATAATTTTTTTTTTTAAAAAAGTGAGAGACGAAAACAGATTTAAACTGGTGCTTTAACCCATAGAAAGCTTTTCAAACAAGTCGCTTTCGTATTGAAAAAATAATCGGAATTATTTTTTTTTCCCCCTTCGTACCAAAAATTGGGTTATCTAACCCAAACAGCTGCAGGTTTCTTAATTATGCACCGCTATTGTCACCAGCAGGGCTTACGCAAATTGCTTGGCGTGGGAAGTGTTGGGGAAAAAAAATCTTTTTTTAGAGGATGTTAATTGGATCATGAACAAGAGGCGGGATGTTTTTCTCTCTGTTTTTTCCCCCCTCTCTTTTTCTGCTTGTGTTTTTTTAAAGTATTTCTCCTTTTGCAGAAAGCCTGGCTGAGTCTACCTGAAATACAGAGAAGGAAAGGGGAAATAAGCAATGGAGCTTCCAGGAAAAATGCCTCTTGTTAAACTGCTAAGGACTCGTTCAGTCCTTGAGTAGAGCTAATTCTCGGCTTACAACCACAATTGAGCCCAAAATGTATGTTGTTAAGGGACAAATTTGTTAAGTGACTTCTGCCCCGTGTTGAGACTTTTCTTGCCACCTTTGTTAAGGGAAGCAATGCAGTCGTTAAAATTATTAACACGGTTGTTAAGTGAATCTGGCTTTCCTATTGATTCCGCTTGTCGGAAGGCTGCAAAACGGAATGACAAAACCCTGGGACATTGCAACCATCATAACTGTGGGTCAGTTGCCAAGGGTCTGAATTTTGATTATCGAGTCTGTCATCTGCACCTCTGTAACTGTCTGGTTTGGCTCTGCAACCCAACAGGACAGGCACAGACTTCAGAGAGTAATTAGGACTGCAGGAAAAACAATGGCTACCAACCTGCCTTCCATGGAGGACCTGTATACTGCACAAATCAAAAAGAGGGCTGTGAAAATACCTACAGGCCCCTCACATCCTGGACATAAACTGTTTCAACTCCTACCCTCAAAACAACACTATAGAGCACTGCACACCAGAACAACTTGACACAAGGACATTTTTTCCCCCAAATGCCATCACTCTGCTAAACAAATAATTCCCTCAACACTGTCCAACTATTTACAAAGTCTGCATTACTATTACTATTAATCTTCTCATCACTCCTTATCACCCATCTCCTCCCACTTGTGACTGTACGACTGTAATGTCGTTTGTATCCTTACGATTTATATTGACGGTTTCCTAGTATGATTTGATTGCTTATTGTACCCTATGACTATTATTAAGTGTTGTACCTGATGATTCTTGACTCTTGACGAATGTATCTTTTCTTTTATGTACATTTGCACCAAGACAAATTCCTTGTGTGTCCAATTACACTTGGCCAATAAAGAATTCTATTCTATTCTATTCTATTCTATTCTATTCTATTCTATTCTATTCTATTCTATTCTATTCTATTCATTCTATTCTATTCTATTCTATTCTATTCTATTCTCTATTCTATTCTATTCTATTTTCTATTCTATTCTATTCTATTCTTTTTCTATTTCTGTTCTATTCTCTCTTCTCTTCTCTTCTATTTTCTCATCTCTTCTATATTCTATTCTATTCTATTTTCTATTCTATTCTATTCTATTCTATTCTATTCTATTCTATTCTATTCTATTCTATTCTATTGTATTCTATTCTATTCTAATCATGTGACCGAGGAGATGCCGCAGTGGTCATAAGCGTGAAAAACAGTCCTAAGTCACTTTTTTCAGTGCTGTTGTAACTTTGAGCAGTCATTAAACAAAACTGTTGTAAGTCAAGGACTATCTGTAATTTAAAATAAAGGGTTTGGAGCTTCATAGCAACGGGTTCAAACCACTTCCTAGGATGTTTACCACACAAATACCAAGGAATATGGTCATTTGCTCTTTTACAATAAGAAGGCTCTGTTCAGTAACCAGTTTAACTTGCGCTGCTGTATAATTTGAACAAGTTTAATTTGCATTTAGCTGGGTTTGGCTGGTCTTGGAAAGGTACGCAGGGTTGTGCCTCCAATTGATTTCACAAAGAGAAAACTATTCCCCCATCCCCCCAAGAAATATTAAATCCATTACAGTGCAGCTTATGTAACAGTTTTTTTTCCTCCTGGGCAAATATATGCAGAATTAGCCAAATTGAGTACTGTACTCAAGAATCATATTCACATACTAATATTTAATTAGAATAGAATAGAGCTGGAAGGGATCTTGAAGGTCTTCTAGTCCAGCCCCCTTCTCAAGCAGAAGAACCTATAATATTTCAGATAAGTGACTGTTTAGTCTCTTCTTACAAACCTCCAGTGATGGAGCACCCACAATTTCTGAAGGCAAATTGTTCCACCGGTTAATTGCTCTCCCTCTTAGGGAGTTTCTCCTTAATTCCAGGTCGCTTCTCTCTTTGATTAGTTTCCATTTATTGTTTCTTGTCTTGCCTTCTGGTGCTTTGGAAAATAAATTGACCCCCTCCTCTTTGTGGCAGCCTCTCAAATACTGCAACACTACTATTATGTCACCCCTAATTCTTCTTTTCTTTAGACTAGGCAGACCCAAAAACCTGCAGCTGTTCCTCATATGGTTTAGTCTCCAGGCCTTTGATCATCTTAGTTGCTCTATTTTATTTGATTATTAATTTAATTTATCATCTTATTTATATGTCAGGTTGCCCAAGATAGAAATTGGGACAGGGGCTGTGACTAAAAGAACACCAGTCATTCATTTACCCTTAACTCCAAGCTCTTGCAGGCACCAGTTAAGATAAGGAAAAAGAGTTAAATGATAAGAATGGGTGTTTTGCATTTTTCCCTTTATCCTTCCCACATCCTTTCCTTCTGTGTTATGTTTTCCGGTCTGCAAATCTCCCTTGACTTATCAGTTGCTTTATTTATTTATTTTAAAAATCAAGCTTATTAAGGAAATAGCCGTAGAATAAAGTGCAGAAATAAAACATCACACACACCCCTGAGCATGCACAGAGCGCATTTGGAAGGTTTGAATCAGGGCAGTCTCAAAAAGCCTTTTTTTTTCCTGTTCCAGGCCCGCCCTCGCTCTTATCCGATTGGTGGCGCCTCCTGCCAATTATAAATCTCAGCCGCCAACTCTATACTGTCCCCTCCCTCCTTGGAGTGAAGATGAAAAAAAAAAAAAGGTGCAACATTTTAATTGCTCGCTTCTCCTGCCAATCTGGGCAACCAAAGCCCGCCTCTTGAAGCTTCACCTTCTTCCCCCCCCCCCTCACGCGCTGCTGTCTTAACGCGGAGGAGGCGGGCCCACGCCTCCGGTTGGCTGCGACGCGGCTGTCACTCCACGGCGGACTCCCACCCCCGCCGCGCTGGGGCGCCCCCGCCTCCTCGGGGAGCGGATCCCGCGCCGATTGGCGCGCCGGCCAGCCAATCCGTCTCTGGCGACCAATCCCCGCGTCGCCCTCTCTCAGGTAACCCGGAAGATGGCGGCGGCGGCGGCGGCGACGGCGGGGACGAGGCGAGGTGCCGTTGCCGGCCGTGCCGCGTGAGGGAAACGGCGGCGTCTCCAGCGGGCCTCCCTCCTCGGCCTTCTCCTCCTCCTCCTCCTGCTGCTGCTGCTGCTGCTTTGCGCCGTCGTTCTCCGGCGGGAACCCATGCCGGCCCCTCCGAGGAGCCCCGCGGGCTGAGGCGAGACAGGCCTGGCCGCGCTGAGGACTCGGCTGGAGCCTCCTCTGAGGCGGCGGAGGGATGTCGGGCCAGCTGCTGCTCCCCGGGCTCGGCTGGGGGGGCCTCAGACTCTTCTGCTTGTGGCTGGGCAGCGGGCAGGCGGCTCCGCTGCCCCCGGCAGGGCCAGGTGAGAATCGATCAATCAAAAATAGAGCTGGAAGGGACCCTGGAGGTCTTCTAGTCCAACCCCTAAAGCCGGGAGGGGCGGAAAGACCCCCTCCTCAGGGAGAGAGGCAGGGCGGGGGGAGGGGAAGCGCGTTTGAGGAGGGGCGGGGATTGGGTTGCCCCCCCCCCCAGCCCTGACCCCCCCCTTTCCCCCCCCCCCCCCCAGCCTGGCCTACCTGGCAGGGTTGTTGTGAGCCCTCAAAGGCCGGGGGGGGGAAGTGAGGCGGGGGTCTGAAGCCCCTGCAAGGAAACCGGCGAGGGGGTGGGTGGTTTCAGTCGAGGGGGTGGGTGACATCAGCAGCTTTTCTTTGAATTCGGTTTTTTCCCCCAGTTTATCCTTATTTATATTTATTTATTATAAGACAAATCTCTTCTGTGGCCAATCACACTTGGCCAATAAAGAATATTCTGTTCTATTCTATATTCTATATTCTATTCCTGTTCTGTTCTCTTATTTCCATTATTTTATTCTGTTCTGTTCTATTCCATTCCATTCTATTCTATATTCTATTCTATATTCTATTCTATTCCTTATTCTATTCTCTATTCTGTCTCTCTGGGATTCGTGGATTCAACCATTCTGGGCCTGGGGGGGGGGGAAATGACCCCAGAGGGGGATGGAGACCTTCAAAGGGGCTCATTTGATTGGTGGTTGTCACGGGGTTGGGTGTGTGTGTGTGTCAGTGTGTGGGGGTGGTGGTAGTGGTGTTATTACTTGTATTCTTTTTATATTGGGATTATATACGGTCCTCCAAAGGGAGTTTTATGGTGTGTAAGCTGCCCACAGTCACTGAAAATGACTGAACGGCCAGAGGAATCCAGTCAATAAGTCCAGCCAATCAATAAATCCAAATCAATAAATATAGCCCTATAAATCCAATAAATAAATATTATTGCCATATCAATCCAATAAGTAAGTAAATAAATAAATATAGCCATATAAATCCAGGGAAGGGAAGGGAAGGGAAGGGAAGGGAAGGGAAGGGAAGGGAAGGAAGGAAGGAAGGAAGGAAGGAAGGAAGGAAGGAAGGAAAAAAGAAAGAAAGATATAGTTCATTTGGGGGAGGGGGGTGTTTTTTCTTTCTCTGGTTGCCATTCCTATTATGGATCTCCTCCTTCTCCACCAGCTTGGAACCTTGCACGGACCCTTTCCCCAAGGCTCCAGCATCCATCCTCCCCACTGTTAAGTGTTGCCCTGGTAGGCCAATATCTCTGGAGAGGGCTGGAATGCAATAATAATTATAATTAATAATAATAATCTGGCTTGGTTTGATTAGTTTCATTTCAAGATCCACTGCTGCTTGTTCTGCCTTCAGGTGCTTTGGGAAATAGGTTGACCAACTCTTCCTTGTGGCAACCCCTCAAATATGGACCGCTGCCATCATATTGAAGCATTTCTGTTTAAACATCTGGACTGAAGGAGACTTCACTGTCTCCTGAGGCAGCCTAGTTCATGGTTAGTCTCACAGGCTTAGGAAATTCTTCCAATCTAAAATAATAGGGAAAGGTGATCATCAAGTCCCACCCCTGCCCTTTGCTTAACAAGTGTCTGGCTAGTCTCTGTTTAAACATCTGTATTTCCCAAGGTAGTCTTTTCCATTATGAAATAGCTGACCGTCATGACATTCTTCCAGATGTTCAACTTTCTGTTTTAAGTCCTTGGCCTCTTAACCTGCTTTCATGTCCTCCCTGATCCATTCGTCTGATCCTTTTCTTATGGCACTTCTTCATCATTAACATCCATTTGCTGACCACAATAAGTGATTACAATTCTTTATTTGTATCTTCCATTGGGGTACATCCTAGGAAGTGCACAGCTTGCAAGGGGCTTTGGTAGAAAAAAAAGGAACATGGAAACAGCAAAGAATGTAGGTGTAATATCTCTCTATCTTTCTATCTCTCCGATGTTATATATTTGCAGATGTGTGTGTTGATGTGAGAAAGAAAGAGTCTCACCTTACACGGAAGGGGGAGGGGAAGTGAGGATAAAAGAAAGATTGTTCAGCTCTGCTGTTATAAATGACACTTCGCATATTTTCTAAACAAACCTGAATTTTGGGTAGAAATATCACAGCCTTAAGATTCTTTTTGCATTTTGACCTGCTTTTATGTATTTGTGTGTTGATGTCTAAAAATTACCCAGATAACAAAAATGCTTCATGCCAATAGTGATGGTATGATTTAGTTTGTGAAAAGAGCTATGTTAAGCAGGTTAATTTTTAAAATGCCATGAAACTCTTGACCTCTGAGAATACAAGAGAGATAAATATAGGTACTTATGGGCTATCATCTTCAAATCTTCTCTTACACATGCGTAAAGGCTTTCCTTCACTGGAGCAAGCCTATTGTGTAGGCAAAGGACACAAACATTTAGTAGCACAACATAAAAAAAGGAACTAGAATGGATAAGAATCACTATCTTATCACTATCCTGTCTTGATTCTATTTGTTCTCAGGTATTTAAGAACCCCACAAATCATTCAGTGTCTTTTTGTGTCTAAACCTAGATATTCAGTCTGTGACAAGTTGTGACAAATAACCAGACATAACCATTCTGAATGTTTTTACAAACAACTTATTGGTTATTAACATGCTTTTAGATTTCAAACATTTTATGAAATGGTTCCCCATAGTGATTCAGATGCTAACCAGTCTTAAGGGAAGTAATACAATTGAATCTGTTAGCTTGATTAATTGAGTCATCTTTGTTTTATTAATCTCTAATCTCTGTAAATCTCAGCTCTTGAATAAATTATAATTGCCCTGAGGAGATTATTGTTGTTGTCTGAAGTTTGGTAGAGATCAAAAGTAAGCTTATCCTAATATTTTCCCATCTATCTTTTGCTGCAACTGATGCAACCTTTCGCCTTCCATATTTTTCCCTCGAATTTGGAAGCTATTAGAATGCGGTTCATGAAGTATAAATTCAGCAGGGGCAAAAGGGGATTTTAAAATAACCAAATGGCAACATTTGAAAGAGTTCTTGATATTGTTGGGAGGAGCTTTCAAAATATAGCGTGTGTATATAGGGTAAATATATTGTATTTTGGTTTGTAATGGTAGACATGGGAGCCATGATGTGCAATACCTGAAGTGCATATTTTCGCTCTCGCACTTTCACAGTTTCTGTGTTGAAACAGGAAGTGTGGCTACCTTGAAACTGACTGGTGTTCCTATCCCTTGATAAATTTCCTTCTGCTTTTAAAGTAGAGCGTCATCTTATTTGTAACAAAATTCCCACATACTGTACTAAGACTTTGGTTCTGTGCACCCTTGCTAGATGCCAGCTCCGTTGTTGAACATAACAGCTTTCAAAGTAAATAACAGAATAACAGAACAAACTAAGAGTAGAGGCCTTCTAGTCCAACCTTCTGCTCAGGCAGGAAACCCTATACCACTCCCGACAAATGGTTGCCCAATCTCTCCTTAAAAAATTCCAGTGTTAAAATAGATAGGTTTCAAGAGTAATCGTCCTTAATATATAAAGATTTACAGCCTTACATTTCCATTATTTAAACTGGGACAAGGGCTGTAGTCCTGTTCAGAACTGGATGATGAAATGCATAAACCAGCAAAACACTGAAGGAAGAATTTAAGCAGACTTTTTTTGTCAGTTTTGGTGCCATGCCCCTTGGCTATGCTATTAATAAAAGCTAAGGAAATTTGTTCTTCCTAGTAACTGATTTATCAGAGTCTGTCCTTGCAATCTCAGAATTGAGTGAAGATATCTGCTTTTTTTTTTTTTAGAAAGTCGGTGAATGTGTGGTCAAAGTGTACATTCAGGTGTGAAAGCAAAGCACCTTTGACCTTTGATCTCATGCCATGAGACACAAGTTTTACATTTGGCAAGGAATTAGTTATTACTTTAAAATGTAAAGATCTTCGTTTTGCTTTCCAAGTATACCTGCTTGATGGTCTGAATCAGCGTTTCTCAACCTTGGCAACTTTAAGATCTGCAGAATTGAACTCCCAGAGTTCCCCAGCCAGCCAGGCTGACTGGGGAATTCTGGGACTTGGAAGTTCACATTTGCCAAGTTTGAAAGACACTGATATAAGATGAAACTACTGCAATTGTGTTGCCCTTCTTAAGTCTTCTCAAAGTGGTGGAATCCAGATGTTTTGGCCAACTTCACAGAGTGACAATTAAAGCACCCCCATCTGCCAAACATAAGATTAGCAAGCTTGCCTGACTCTGTGTAGATCTTGTGTATAGATTGAACATTGTGAGCACAAAATACACATACTGTGTGGTAGGAGTAACTTTGCCCCTTCAATTGAAAGTCCTAAAATTTGGGGTACTTTTAGTTCAATTCCAGGTCTTTACGGAATTACAATGACCCACCTTTTCTTTCTGAGCTGTTCCAACTGTTGTTTTCATATATATTTTTCCTCCTCTTTTATTGTGCTTTCTTTGGGGGTTTGGTCTTCAGTATGCAGACAATTTCTTCCTGCTTTCTGTACACAAGGATTTTGTTTCTTGCTACTCCAGTTTTGTTACATACCTCCCTGGGTTCTCACTGCCCTGCATCATTGAACTTACCAGATGTCTTTTTGGTTAGGTTTTAGTGTAATCTTCATGGTTCAGAGTTCTCTCTTTTCTTAAAACATTTTACAGTTCTGTTTTCCCCCATGCCGGGGCAACGTTTGAAATGGAAAATGCAACTTCCAGTAAAATGAAGTGTTATATTATTGCCGTTGTAAGAATGAATGAGAAGGCCCTCCTTTGTTTAACCCCAATCATTAAATGCCTGTGCAAACAGTGAATCTCATAGAGTTAACTGAAAACAGCAAGTCTTAATTTTTGAATTAAATCAGGAAAGTAATATATATAACCAGCCACAAATCTTTTGATGGATTGGCACCTACCTTTTGCTTCATAGGTTATGTACAAATTACACTGCAGGTATCTATCCTGTACCCAACAGGAACAAATATCTCCTCCTCCCTCCCTTTTTTGGCTAC